GACTCTCTTTAAATACCATTTGAATTGCCGTGCGCGGCATCGTTCAGGAATCTCTATTAATGCGTCGCGCCGCGCCTCTTCTCCCCGTTTCACAGACCATTGCGGATGAAGTGCTGCACGCGGCGCATTTGAGACACGCCGCGTAGTCTGGTATTTCAGTCCCAGGCCATGTAATTTTCCGAGTGTAGATCCGCGTTCGCGTGAAATTGGAAAAGGGCTTCGTCCCGTCGGAGTCTCTCCATTTGGCGAAGCGTAGCGGCGACCAGACGATAGACCCGGGAACCGTCTGGTAGTCCTTGAACGGCCCTTTAACAGACTGCATTGCAGTCAAGGTTATCATCCTCATCTCTCCGTGATGTGGAACGGTGGAACTCCCCAAGAGAACGAATGAATAGAAACGTGGATTCGCTACTTCGCCAAGGTCGGCCTTGTCTGGCAGCAAGAATTGCACTCCGAAATGCATCACGCGCGAGTACATATTTCTTCGTTAGCTCTGTAGCGACTAAAATAGATGAAAATTGATAAATGATGTGATAAAATATGTATAGTATGTGTACTTATCTATTATTAATTTAAGATAATGTAAGATATGAAGCGATATCGTAATCTCAATAATCTCGGCAAAATAAAATTTATCGATTGTGTTATCATTGATGAAATTAGAATAAGAATATCTTATTAGATTATACATGTGAAAATACAACCAATAAGAAATAAAGGTCTTTAAAGGTCGAAGTTAGATCTTTAACGCTTAAATAATTTCATGTGAATCTGTATGTACTATATTTATATGTACTATATTTATATGTACATATTATATTTATATGTACATACTTTATATTTGTAGTTCATTTGATGAAATTAGCAATTGTTGCACAGTTTATGAGAATGCAGTAGGCGTTGAAGATAAATTCAAGTTCAGCGATAAATCGTTTATGGAATATGACAAAACCATAATAAATGGTCCGATAAACTATTAACGAATACGACTGGCAAACGAGAATCGATGACTGCGGCGGATCTGTTAAAGCAGAGATGCGGCGGTATTAGCGATGCAAAATTGCGTTCCCTTTCCGTGACTAAATAATAGTTCGAGGAACACAACTTCGCCTTCTACGCTAGCACAATCGTGACTATCGGCTGCAGGTAGTATTCCTTATCATTACGTCCCATAAACATTATCCACGGTTCCATCGAGAATGATTCCGCGACGCGGCTGGGAGAAGTGAAGAAGAGGTGGCACGTCCCAACCCAGAAGGAAAGCCACTTCAAGAGTGAAAGAGAGGTGAAAGACAGAGACAGAGAGAGACAGAGAGAGAGAGAGAGAGAAAGAGAGAGAGAGAGAGAGAGAGAGAGAGAGAGATGGCGGGCGTGGATGATCGAAGGAGAAAAGAGAGATAGAGAGGGAGATTGCGCCGGAGTAAAATGAACGATGTAGAAGAGACTGAGAGAGAAAGAGAGAAAGAGAAAGCGCAGAGGGAGAACGAAACGTTTGAAAACGAGCCATGAAAAATCAAGATGAGATTTAAATTTTGCTTAAATATGCATTTCATTGGATTGTTTGAATACATGCATGTGAATTATGCACGCATCTATTTACGCGTGCACAGTCACAGTGCGTTTCAGACAAAACTCAGAATACCAGGCTATTGAGAATTTAATGATCATAATAACGATTTGAAATTCGAATACACGATTGTATTATTAAAAATAATATATTTGATGTCATGTTGTATCAACATGGATAAATGCTGTATCAAATGATATGACAAAGGTTTTCTTTTGTCTGAGAAGACCGCTTGTCGTTTAATTCTTCTACATATTTGGTTCATATAAAAATGATAATTATTGTGCGTCTTATTAAATCTAAAGCCACAAATGTAGTAAGTTGTAAGTAGTTGTAATTGTAAGAATTTACCAATATTCACTTATTCTTTTCAGGTTCGGTAGTGATAGGTCAATTCTAACAATTATATCACTTACAACAACACTTACGCGATTGTAGAATAAACTTCCCAGATTGCAAAGTTTGTCATTTTTACTCCTTTACAGATCATTATTGGATGCTTTCCATTTGATGACACAAGTCGACACAAGCATCGTTCTATTCTTGTTGACATTCAGAAAGTAACAAAGATAGAACAATCGACTTGTGTCACCAAATGGAAAGCATCCATTGACGTCTTAGGCTGGAGTGTTCCATAAACTTTAGCTCACTGTCTTATTCTCTTACTTATGTTTTATTCTTTTGTTTATCCAATAAGTAAATTATCACATAATTTATCTAAAGATGGAACAACTAACCAGTTCTTAATGAAATCAAATTGACGTTCGAATGTTACAGACGATTGACATTATTGGTGAGCCGTCATTTTGATATATCTTTGCCCTTTACTGATCATTATACTACTCAACTGGCGACTTATGACGTCACGGAATAACATTACGAAAATGACGTCAGTCGTCGAATAAAAACCTATAGTCATTTGTACAAACATGAATTTGATATAAAAACAACTGTGCTACCTGGATTAAGTTCGAATAATTTTCCAATTCATGAATCGTATAGGATGTTTCTTCATAGCATGCAAGAAGATACATCGTATAACAGAGGCACGATGAACGCGTTTCGCTGTGATAATTCCGCGAAGAGGCAATGTCCGAGAGGGATGTGTACAAAGCGTCGGCTGGATCATTTATTTATCTTCCCATTCTCCCGACGCACGTTACTAATTAGCCGTGATTGCGATAAAGTATCGATACATCAAAAGCATACCTGCTGTACACGTGCATAGATACGCGAATCCCTTTCAACCCGGGATGCTACTCGCGTGTATGGATTTCGTATTGTTGCCGCATTGTTGCCCAATAGCAATTACGACTAGTAGCACACGCTCGCGGATAAATCTGATTTGCCGTTCGTGATGTTCCTATCTACATATCATGGCAAGCGCGTAGTTTACGAAACGGAAAGGAAGGGTTCGTTCGCGCGCGTTACCTGTACCCGGGAGAGGACTAAATTACGAGCTTGTCGGCCTCTGTTAGCTCGCCGGCCAGCCGGCTACCACCCCGAGCTGGTATTAAATCGAACAGTACATCCGGTGCGTATGTACACCCACGATTGCGGCATGCTTCCGAGTGGACCGATCGAATGGCGATTCTGCGGTAGACAACGCCCGGGGCTCCTCAACGGGTCCGTTGGACACACGGAGATTGTACAGGGGTTGCGTGTCGCGGGGGATGGTTTAACACGGGGATGGGTAATGGCGACTCCTATCAGCTCTATACACTCTGTCCCGCTGCCAGCTCCCTCTTGGCGATGTTTCTCCGATCCCCTTTCCTCTGCCTCCCTTTGCTTGTCGTATCGTTGAATTTGAATCTCTCATTATCCTCGAGATATCTCTTCATTTATACTTAGAACATCGTGAACGTAACTCGCGATATATCCTTTATTTTCGCTATTTCGCTGTATCTTTAATCGAGCTAATGTAATACGTATTTACTTTTTCTGTTGTAATTTCAAATGGGATTATTTAAATTTATTCATGTAATATTATGTTTGTAGCTGGGGAAAACATGTATGTTCATGATGTATTATCATTGAATAATATGACACACAGATTATAGGAATTGGAGAAACGAGATTTATATTTGTAATTATATCCGTAAACAATGAAATGTAGGTATATAAAAACATTACTCAAATTTTGAATTGCAAAAATGTTTTTACTCGATATACAAAATCGATATAAAATTTAGGGTGTGCTGTTACATAAAATGCAAGACAAAAAAAATTGAACTAAAAAGAACAATATTTTAATTTCATATTTTGAATGAATATTTTGGAACAATAGTATTAAATAGAAATGGAAATGAAAATGTATTCGCACATTTAATGATAAAGAAACGAGATCTTAAGCAGAATATCTACAAATAACAGATTAATTTATGTTTAACTTAACCGTGTTATTAATTTTCTTTTCCTATTCTTACATTAACCTATTAATTTTTCTTACATCTTTAATAAGTTTTCTTTGAAGTCTATTCCACTTTTTAGTAGATAATATTTTTCTCTTCTCTTTCATATCCGTGTCGTTCCTTATCTTTTCGATGGCACCCGATCTCTCATCACATGTCGTTAAGGGAGGAAAGGGATAGAGGAAGGAACAACGATATCCCGGTAATTTACGTCGATAGTGGCTGAACTGAATGGCCACCAACCACTTTGCATATTGGATACTCGCACGACTCGCAGTTTAGCGCCGTCTTCGGAATATCCTGCAGCCGGCCGCTGCAGTTGGCCGCCGGAAATAGCCTTCGTTCCGGAATTTCATTATCCCTTGTCGTTGATGCCTGATATTTCGTCCGGCTCCGCGGTGGAATTCAAAAATTCTGAACATTTTCATCTATCCTCTTTGGTAATTTCACCGGCTTCCGGAAGAAGTTTGTCGCGCTCGTAGGTTTGCTCATTGATCCCTCGACATGGCGAGTATCGTTTCAAACCGCTATCAGTAATACTGCAATTTTGCATACATATAGCAGTGCAATTTTTTATGAACCGATATCGTTGCTTCTCCTACTTCTTGTTACATCCTATTTCTTGTAGCAACTTGCTACATCATAATAATTCTGTTTTAACGAAAAGTTAAAACATTCACGAATCAATCAAAATATATAAAATGATATAAAAAAAAATATCCTGACGACCGAAATTTTTCAGTAAAATTTATTGAAAATAAAGTTAGCAAAGTGTGAGGTTGTAAAAGGATTATAAAGCAATTAAAAAAAGAATTCGAAAGTTGCGGTAATAGAGGAATTTTTATGAGTATGTAGAAATATAACGTCAATCGACGTGAAATCCACAATCTCAATTAATCCAAGATAATAACCGATAACCGATAACGAACAAAGCTACAATGAAGGCTCTACCCGGCCACGGTCCGATAACGAATTTTTCTATACTCCACAATTGATAGCGACAGACAGTCTGTGGGTAACGGCTAAGTGATAAACCTTCGTGAATTGTGGAGAATAATGCGGGCTATGTTATTAGTGTGTCTACTGGTGCTTCTGATGATTCCATATTTCGTCCACAGTAAGTACAAAAAGAGATGAAATTATATATGCATCTCGAGTTTCAAAACTGATTTTGCGAATAACAAAGAAGCGTAACGCATGTCTGTTTCTGATTATTACTGTTTGTTTTTGAAACCGGAGAGATTCAGGATGTGGACAACAGGCAATTTTGCATGGTGCATTAGTATGCATTATTGAATCGAAATACGCGCGGTGTGCGCTCGCAACGAGAGCGGAGTTGATAGAACATTAATCGCGCTCGGATAAAATTGCGACGGTTAATTAGTTTTTCATTAAGCTCGCCGATAATTATCGTGCGGATCGTGTACGCTCCGAAAAATAATTTTTACACTTGTGACGAATAATGCGGAGGATAATATGTCACAATAACTCAGAATCGCTGTAAATTTCGCTCTTCTCGATAAATCCATTTTTTCATGTAATTTAGATTTTATTTCGCGACAGCACGATGTAATATACATCATTGATAATGATGATTATAATTTGTACACCAAGGCTCGCCAACTGATCTTCCTATTTCTTCTGAAATAAGTCTGCAGTCTATCGGATTATCTAGTCGCATAATTAATGGTACAAAGGCTGTTTTAAGGCAATTCCCCCATCAGGTAACATTTTTCGATAGTTTTAATCTAACGTGTATCTGAGAAGAATGCTATCTTTAGGTATCTTTAATGCGCAGTTGGAATAAAAAACATTTTTGCGGTGGAAATTTGATTAGCGCCTCTCTAGTCTTAACTGCAGGTCATTGCGTGTACGGGTAAGTCAACTATTTCAATTAGATATCTTGATTATTATTGACAACAGACATCTTAAATGGAATTGTAGATCTCGTTTCTTTAACTATTAATGGCATTGCTGTGTCTTTAATTTCTAGAAAATATGTTTGCGATAAATTAATTAACAATATTTCACTGATCCGATGTATTTTAATCTATACGTTATCTACATTATCTTCTTGGAAAATGATTGAATTTTTGCATGAAATATCGATAAAATAATTAATTTTTACATCATACATAGAAGTACATAAGTACTTAAAAAGAGTATTATTTATGTCTATAATTAAATTAATTAAATTATTAATTATTTACTAAATAGAAATAAACGGAGCTATCAATTACATAGGTCTGAAAACGTCATACCACCATGGACAATTATTGTGGTTGGAGGAATACTTAAGCTGAATGAAACTTTGAAGCGGCAAGAAAAAGGCGTAGAGAATATCAGAATTCATCCAAAGTTCAATCTCGAAAATTTGTATAATGACGTTGCCGTTTTGAAAGTACTCGTACAATGGTTTATCAATCAATCGTTATCGCATTTTCACGTGACTTTCAGAATAAGCGTAATTTATGTTCGTTATAGCTATCGACACCCTTTACGTTTACTCCGGAAGTTCGTAGTATACCCTTGTCAGGAAGCCCACCGAAACCTAATACTATTTGCCAAGTAGCTGGTTGGGGTTACACGATAGTCGTGAGTATATAACGAAATACTTTGACTACAAGAAAATTCATTTCAACTAAAGAACCACTAGAAAATGTTTGAAATGTTTCAGGAAATCCCGAAAGTATCTTCCGATTTGATGTACGTTGATTTACCTATTCGAAGCGAAAAAGAATGTCGCAAACTGCTCAAAAACATAACGGATCTACCACCGGGAATGATGTGCGCCGGTTATTTAGAAGGTGGAAGGGATGCTTGCCAAGTAACGTATTCCCTTAGTCAATTTATATATACATTCATAATAATGTGATTTATAAATTTTCAATATTAAGATTTTTCGAGTCTTTTAGGGTGATTCTGGAGGCGGAATGGTCTGCAATGGTATTCTGACCGGTATCGTTTCCGGTGGTCAAGGATGTGCTGAGCCACTATTACCTGGAGTATACGCAGATGTTTTTCATTATTTAAATTGGATATTAAATGACGCAGATGTAGTAACTGTAGTGAGAAATAACATTAAAAATTGCGGCGCGTCAAAGATGATTATGATACTTTCCTTTCTTTTTTGTACTGTTATCAATTATATCTAAACCTTGAAGATGAAATAAAAGAAATTCCCTCTGTTGACATGTTGATATGTATATTTGAAAATATTAAACAAAGGATAGATTTTATGAGTAATGTGATAATTCTAGAGTATACGATTTATAATGCTGCAATGTGGCAATATACAACTTTGATGAGTGAAATATCTTGTGAAACAAATAAAGTTTAAAATTAATAAAATAAATACTCTTACGATTCAAATAATTGCATTTAGAGATTTAAATAATAAATATCGTATTATAATTTTTTAAATTACAAATTATTCTCCATTAATTATTTATTTCGATTGTTGATGAAGTTTGCTTTTACAATTACTTATTTACATCTTAAAAAATTAATTTTAAATAATCATGCAGAAATATTTAAGATTTGTTGATTTATAATGTTAGGACTTAATCATAAAAAATCTTTTATCAATTTACAATAATTTATTTTATCTTTCATTCTTTATTATTTTGACAGAGCTGTACACTTCGAAAATTTGAAAATTTCTGTGATACTTAAACGATACGCAATACGATTGATTTCTGATAAGCCAATTATGAAATTGTCGATATTTCTGATAATAAAATAGAAATATTTAATTTTGCTGCATACATTTGTTAATCTTATCAGGAGAGATTATCTTGTTTGATCTGTAAATATACACGTATTTAGTGAAGTAATAAAATTTAACAAATAAATCTTATTATTTTAGTTGAGACAATAAAAAAATAGATAAAAAGAAAACATTATTTATTTTAACGTCTCTTTAATACATATTTCCAATAAAATTTAATCAATAATATTTTAACCTTTTTATATTTTAATCTGTCTATAAATGATTATTATATTGTAAAATTTATTTCCTTAAATCAATAATCCACAATGCAGCAAACATATTAATTGTAGCGTTGATAATTAATAACATTATTAATTGCTTAATGATCTCTAATGCAATTAACGAGTTTAATATTTCCTCTATTTGATTATATATATTTTTGTATATACACGGAAATGTAATGTATATATGTATAAGCAAGATATGTGTAAGCAAATCTTATAAATTTTTTAACTTTTCATCTTTCCTAACACTCGAACTATAAAGAATATTTATCCATATTCATCTCTTTTACACGTACATTCTATTAGATATAAAAAGATTAATGATAAAGATTTTCGTTGCCTTCTGCGCGAAGAGATGGGAAGAAGAAAAAAGAAAGAAAAGAAAGGAGGAGAAAGGATAAAGGGACAGACGATGTATTCACTTTGATCTCAAATAGCAAGCAGCAGACGCGCAAAAAGCTCATATTCCACTTAATACATGGCGAATGATACCCCGAGAAATGTATTAGCAGATTGCTTGCTGTTAAGATGGGGAAACGTCCACGGTGTATTCGCGAATCGCGCAACTCCTTTGCCGCGTCTGCTGGTTTCGCTGCATCAGTATTAAATTCTGTGAGCGAGACAAAGCGAGCAAAGAAATATGAGGACTCTTGGCGGCTCTTTTAGATTGGATATAAATTTCTCGCGCGTAATATTTGCTATGTATGCGTACGAAGCGAATCACGGGAGAGATTATGGAAATTAAATTGTCTTCATTTAATTACAAGAAAACGTCGTTATAATTATTCGACAAAATTGAATCGTCCTCTTTTTAAAAAATGTCTTTGAAAAAGTATTGGAATTAAAGATAAAAATCTGTCTTCATAAAAATTTCTAACAAATTAAGAATAACTTGTGCTGAATCTTTGAATGTTATTATCCATAGAAATTTCAATATGATCCGATTATAGATATTTAAAAGTGATAAGGTAATTTAATTAAATAATATCAGTAGTCAATTTCATCTGACTGTTCTCCAATATTCTAAGTGATTAATATGATATAAAATAGAAAACTGTACGGAAAAAACGATTTTGCTGAAAGATCTAAAATTTCGTTGAATACAAATCTGAAAATAATTTTGGAAACAGATTACTAAAATATCAAAATCATTTAAAACTTTTTAATGGGCAAAATTTTTTGCATATTAATTTTTTATTAATTTCATAATTATTTTGATAGTACAACAAAAGTACAGTTTCAAATTTGTATCCAGCAAAATTTTAGAGTTTTCAAAATTATTCTTTTTGTATTGTTCAAATTAGAATCGCATTTCGTATAATTGCGAATGTATTTCAGAATGCAAAATAGCGCATCTTATTATCTTTTCATAGAACGAGATCTCGATGCATTTTAATGAGCATTTTAATGACTATATTCTCATACGAAAATTTGACTTCTTCTGGCTCGCGCGATCATAATCTTTCAAGATGGGCTTCCGTTTCCGAAAGTTAATCCGCACGAAAACCCGAGACGTTCTCTTCGCAGGGATTTCAGGACCGCGTAGGCTTGCGATCGATGCCCGTGAAGTGATCGTGGGTGTACAGAAGAGAAATGGAAAACGAGATATAGGGAGAGAAAAATAAAATATAAAATCAAGAGACGGCTGAGTCGCAAAGTACGGGAGTGAAGAAGGATAACGGGGAGAAAAGAAGCTGTGAGTGAAAACTGCCACGTTTCACCTGATAAACGTAACTTCTGATACATGCGCCCCTTCGGCTTCGGTTTTTTTTTAAGCTAAGGAGAACGTTTTTCACGGCCTCTCCGATGCCATGGCTTTCAGGGCTCCGTTGCTCCTTCGACGGCAAATGGAAAGTGGGGAATGAATATGTTTGCGTGTCGACAGGGTCCATTCGCAACCTCAGTAATTTCGGGATCCAATAAGAATTCATTAAAGGATATATAGAACCTAAACGCTCCCCCGCGCAGAGAAAGATTCTTTTCATCTTTCCTTCTCTCTTCGCCATCGGGGGCTTTAAATAAATTAAAAGTTTGCGTTTTCTACGCGGGGACGAGTAATTTCACCGCGCACCCAAACGCGACAGCGAATTAAATTCGTAAGGTGGGGCTGCCGACGATAAAGTTCCCTCTAATTACTCGAATCGAAGATGGTGGGAGAGTAAATTCAAGAAGAGAGAGAACGTTGGTGGACTATTCAAGAGTCTCGTTCTCTTCTCAAGTGATTTAAAAGAAAGATGCATCCATATTCGTTACTTCAACATCGAACTTCGCGAAGAAAAACGGAGGCGAAGACGCGTGTTCATCTGACGGAGGCGTTTATTAATGATACGTTCGATCCGTGGGTATGCTGTGGGCGAATTCATTATACTAATTGCACATCCGTTCTATATCCGGCTGCGCGTGGGCTTTATCGTTGGAAGTGCAATGGCAAAGTTCGTTCAATGAGAAAGATGCGTTCCTCATGAGACGTCTTCCTTATATAAAATCGATTTCTTGTAGAATGGATCCTGTATTATTACATAACTCATCAGAATTACCTGGTTAGTGCACACTACTCGGTCAGATATTTCTAAAATACATTGTGTGAAGAGATTCACATTTATATAATTGAAACTTCAATGTCTCTTTTTTTAATACCAGCAATGAAATAACTTGATTCGGTCAGGATAATTTTGATTTAAATTTAAAAAACCTAGTCAATATGTTCAAAATTAAGACATAAAATATCTTAATTTTGTTAAACAATTAAATCTTAAAACAAAGAAGATTCTTTAAAGAATGTTTTTAAGACTTCTTGTATTTTGACGCATGCTAGATATTATTAAAATTCGCATCAAAGTCCCATTATCCCATTTCAATGCAAATGGATTAATCAAGATTGTTAGACGCCAATTGTTAGACGTAGACAAAGGTGCGGAAGGTTGTTTCCTGATCAAGAATGATTTTATGATGCATTTGAAGCTGCGAAACAGTGGAAAAAGCGTCAACTTCGAGGAACGAATCTCGCTTAATGACTCCGTTACGCATTAACGGCTACTTGGAAACAGCTTGAAGTCGCACGAGAAAGTCGTTTCCCGAGGATGTGACTGGAAATTCCAATACTATCTTTTATAACGAAGTAAGCAATAGTTGGGTTTGTCATTTACGAGACACTATTGTGGCTTTAATTTTTACAATTATCTTTACGCTATAAATAAATATATATAATATTACAAAACTCGTTAAAAATCTAAAATACGTATTCTTCATTTTGTGTAGTGCGCTGCGAGTCAGTTATATCGGAAATCAAAGTAGTAAGAAAGTAATACTCTAGAAAGTGACCGTGAATAAAAGAAAAATTAATACTTGATGCATATAAATTAATAATATAATGTATCTTGTCAGTTATATCAGTAAATATATAAATTAAGAGTCTATTAATAAAAAAAGAGAAAAAAAATGCAGAAAGGTGATAATCCGTTAGGTGAATACCGTGCTAGAATACATTAGTTTTTAATTGAAGTAAATTTTCAAGAGTAATGAACATCTTACTTCCACGTCGGATAATGCAATGTAGAAAAAGAAAAACATTCACCGAGAACAGAAAATGGTAACAAGGGAGGAAAAGGAAGGAAGATATTAGGAGGGAGAAAGAGAATATAATATTAGAATACAATTCGGGCAAAGAATCCATGTCGTTTTGTCTGTTTATTCTTCATGTTTCTGTTTTTTAATATGTACTATTTCAGATATTAATCTTTTATTGAAAGCTGTATATCTAATATATCCACTTTATCCCATTTAAAGTTGTGATTCTTCTCCATACGATAGTTAGAAATCATCGATGGAGATTTTGAATTTATATTAATATCTGAAACATGTTCATGTAGTCTAGTTTTTAACTGTCTTTTAATCTGGCCAACGTAACTGACATCACAATTCTCACAAGATATTCTGTAAACTACATTTTGATTATGTACATTTTTTAAATGAAATTTTTTAATGTGGGATGGTAAAAGCCAATATGCAATTAAATGTTAACGATAGGTGTTAATCTTTCAGATATTATATTAACATATGAAATAGTAAAAAATTTTTTTATATTATCCTTGTTATTATTCAAACTAAACATCGTTGATATGAAATTTAATTCTATTAGCGATGTTTGAATAAGTTTACC